CTCATGCTCTCTCTCTCTATCCCATTCTCTCTCTCAAATAAATAAATAAAATCTTTAAAAAAAAAAGGATGAGTTGGAGAAGTTCATGGAGAGAGCTTGGCAGTGGGCCCTTTTCCCTCCCACACTTGCACCACACAGCAGACAGCAGTGACATGGGGCCCTGGGTAACCAGTGAATGGAGGAGGGGTGTCTGGGCTCAGAGAAACAGGACAACGTCCCAGGTACCTGCTGACTATAGGAGAAAAAGAGGCTACTACTCCCAGAAGACAAGCTCCTAACTACCTCGCTTGGCAACATGCCCAAAGAAACAAGATGACCAAGAATCATACAATTGAGAAAGAAAACCACAGGAGATAAAAAAAAAAAAAAAAAAAAAACTTAAAATGGAAAGGAAAAAATACAGTTAAAATAGTAAATAGAAAACCTTAATGTTTGTGTAATTACCATCAGTGAAGAGATCAGAAAGAATATGGTGCTTAAAAAGCATAATATTGCTATGAAAAAGTCAGCAATCTTGGTAAATAAATTCAATACATGTGCCAAATAAGCAGAATGGAAACTTATGAAATAAATTAGTAAGCAGGATGATCTAATTAAAGATTTCTCCCAGAATGCAATGGAAAAGGCCAAACAGATAAAAGTATAAGGAAAACAATTAAGAGATATAAGGAATAGGTCTCAGATTTCCAAAATCCATTTGATACATATCCCAGAAATAAATAACAGAGACAATATAGGAGAAGAAACAGAAAAGAATTAGAAATTTCCCTAAAGTGAAACACATATTTTGAGATTAAATAGACCAAAGGTCATACAAGATCAAAAACAAAAACACTGAAATTTATTACCCCTAGGGAGGGGAGGGGAGAGGTAAAGAGAAGAGAGGAGAGAAAGGAGGAAAGGAAAATAAATGGAACAGAAAAAATTCAGAGGGTCAAAAAAATAGAGAATGGAAAACAAGAAAGAAAATATAGCTATAAAGCAAATTACATAGCAAGCATATGTACAAATGAACAAGTAATCACAATAAATGAGAATATATTAAAAGAAATCATGATTGGGGTGCCTGGGTGGCTCAGATGGTTAAGCGTCTGCTTTCGGCTCAGGTCATGCTGGGATTGAGCTCCGCATCGGGGTCCCTGCTTGGCAGGGAGCCTGCTTCTCCCTCTCCCTCTACTGTTCCCCCTGCTTGTGCTCTCTTGCTCTCTCTGTCAAATAAATAAATAAAATCTTTAAAAAAAAAAAAAAAGAAATCAGGATACTGGGTAAAAGGAAAAACAGCTACTTTTTGTCACTAGAAATATAATTTAAACCAAATAACACAGGTTAAAAATTAAATGATGGAAAAAGAAACTGCCATATAAATTCTAACAAAAAAGAGCAAATATTAGATAAAAAAAGGCAAAAAAAAGGCAAAAAAAAGAAATCAAGCTGAAAATCATTAAATGGGAAGACTAGTATATTTCATATTGATAAAAATCTGTACTGAAAGACAGGCTTCCCTTAAGTTTCATTGGTTGGAACAATTTCCCATGTCCATATCTAAACCAATCACAGTTGATGAGACTGGAATTCCCAGGAGCAGTTAGACCCTTTGGGATTAGATGCCTGGGACTTGGGTATGCCTGCCTTCTCTGAAACACGGGCTATGCCAAGTAGGATGTATACCTGAGGGAAAAAAAAATCAGGGTTTTAGGACAAAGGTAGGCAATCAACAGTATTCAATACACCACGCTGAAGTTATCACAATGCACAATTTCCTTCTTTTGCAGCATTAATTACTACAAAGTGATTGATCACCATAAATTAAAAAATGCAGTGTTTTATTTCTTTGTCTCCTTTTAATTGTCTATCTCCTCCACTGAGAAGCAAACTTGGGTGGGGGGCGCCTGGGTGGCTCAGTCCTTAAGCGTCTGCCTTCGGCTCAGGTCATGATCCCAGGGTCCTGGGATCAAGCCCCATATCAGGCTCTCTTTTCAGCGGGAAGCCTGCTTTCCCCTCTCCCATCCCCCTGCTTGTGTTCCCCCTTTCTTGCTGTCTCTCTGTTAAATAAAGAAAGAAAATCTTTAAAAAAAATAGAAGCAAACTTTGGGAAGTCAGGGATCTTGTCTATCCTGTTCTTCATCGAAGCTCTAGCATCTTGCAGAAGGCTCCAAATATAATAGGAGTTCAATACATGTTTGTTGATAGGATGGATGGATGGATGGAGGGATGGACGGATGGACGGACAGATACTGGGATAGATTACTCTGAGACAGATCCACCAGGGGGAAAAAAAAAAAGCTAGAAAAGGAAAGCTTCAAAGTGGTATTAAATACTGTTACAGAGTTACAGGGAGACAGGATTGCCAAATGACCACTCAATTGAAGGAATTTACCTTTGGAGAGGTTTTGGTACGAGCATTTCTAAATATAAGTCAGAACATAAGGAACGAAGGGCAAAATGGATAATAAAGATGTGATTATAGTAAAATTACCTTTGTCTTTTTTTTTTTTCTAGTAGAAGCAGAAGAGATAGTATCTCTAAGGATAGCAGAGAAGGGGTTACTTTAGAAAGGCAAGAGTGAGTGTACTTGTTCCCCCAAAAAAGCAGTCAAATGAGAAGAATATATTGAGTACATAGGGGAAAAGGGGAATTATTTCTATAAGAAGAGGGAACTGAATTAAATGTAAAATATTGAAAGGTTAACTTTAAGGAAGAACCTACTGTGTCCAGAGATCAGAGTCATGAAAGAATGTGAAAAAGACACACAGAGCAAAATAAATGTACTATCACCTCAACTTAACCTAGATTATCTGCTCATGAATCACTTCATCGTGGGTATTCACTAAAGATTTGTTGAATGAATGAAATGAATAAACACATGAATAGATGTGATGTTATACATCTGGGGGTTTTTTCTGTATCTTCTTACCGTAAACATGATCCTTGTTTTCTTAAGCTAAATCCTAGAAGTGATACAGAATGAGAGATTCTACCAGGCAGGAAATGCCTTCATGGACATGTAAACAACAGACTGAACAAAAAGGAAGAGAAATAAAAATAAGGTAAATATCCTTCTCTATCCTACTGTTATTGAAAACTCTAATGATGGGATTATGTATATGCCAAAGTTATTCATTTTACTGAAAGCTACAGTAAGTAAAGGGAAATAATTTATGCAAAAGAAAAATATGCTCAATCAATAACCAGAAAATATGTATCAATATTTGTCTAACTCTAGAAGAAAAACAAGATTAAGAAATAAAAAGCTTAATTTTCACTGTTTAAAATAACTGCTCAACCTGAAAATTAAATCCCAGATCTGATTTTCTAATCTGTTGAGCATTCTCTCTGTGACATGTTCTACTTTTAATGGTTTTCATGTTGCAAGTATTCCACCAAACTTTATAAAGTACTATTTAAAATTCACTAGAAGTTATTTTTATATAAATCATATCTTAACAGTGGCTTCACAACATTCTCCCCAGTATCTAAGTACCTCAGAACTTGATATTAAGTTAAAAGGTCACAGAAATAGGCCAACATTTACACGTCACTTGACAGACATTATTGAAAATACAACATGAGTGTATATCAGACTTAGCTTCTACATGCTAATTACTACAGAATCTGACGAGTAAGGGGTTGACCATTGTTGGAAGGAGGATAGCACTCAAAAGGATCAAATTATAGCAGTGACATTGCCTTCGCTGAGCCGCATCTGAATGAAGAGAACTCTGCAGGGCACTGGTCAGAATGACGGTGTCACCAGCTACTTCAGTAGATTTTTTTTTAATAAAAGTTCTTCTACCTTGATCAATCCCTGCTCTTCAATTTAGAGCTGAGATTAATTCTCCAAGACACATTATGGCACAGTATGAACACTTGAAATCATCTTAGAATTGCTTGCTTTCATATTTGGCATAACTATTGTACCACCTTAGAAACTGCTTCTATTGACCTTTAGATTAAAACTATGTTGGATTATCAAAAAAAAATTATAGCAGTGACAATTAGTACATACAGTCTATTTCATAAAGTGATTTTACACACAATTGCTATAATAAATTATGTTGTGCAGCAAAGACATAAAGAAAAAATTTAAACCAGTTAACTCAAGGAAATCAAATGAGAGTTAGAATTCAAGTTAATTGTATAATAAAGGAATAGATTTGAGAGATATTCTGGAAGAAATTACAGGATTTATCAACCACCAATACGGCAAGAGGAAAAGTTGGGAAAGGAGAATGCTGGGGAAGATAAGGGTGTCCAACTAGCTAAATAATTTATTTTGTTCTTTAAAAGATCTAGAATGAAGTGACACCTTGGAGCAAACCACTGGTCTTCATTCTCATCCCATGCTGAGGAGCTTCTGGCCCCATCTGAGCATACGTATAAAGGGCAAGTATGACCATCAAGTCACAACATTGAATGTTTTCGGTTATCATGCCAGAAATTTTACATTCTAACGAGAATTACCCTTTAAGCACTGTTCTTAGGAGGCGCTGCATTCATTTCACTGATTTCTATTCTCAAAACATTTGGAATACCTCACATATTTGTATATATGTGTCGAGTATTCTTGCTTTATATGTGTATTTTCAGGTGAATAGTTAAGCTAGTTTCATAACTTTTTATGGCTATTTGTTATGCATTATAGTATTCTCTGAACACTATTTATAATTTCATATATCTTTGGTTTGAAAAATGACAGTGACATTGATATATATTGTAGATCAGAAGTTCATGAGTGTTCTGTTATCTCCTGAATTACTGGCCCACCTACAGCAGATACACTATAGCCCCCTGTATGAAGCTAAGTACCATGAGAGTTTTGAACAGAAGTTTTGACCACACCCCATCATACTCTTAAAATACACCCGGATCTCACTTTTTATTTTTAATGCTTGTTTTTTCATAATTTTCATGTATGTAGATATTTTTGTTCAGAAAACCTTCAAAATTATCTAGTACTACAAGCAAATAATTAGTGGTGACTAAGAGGGTCTCGTGAATACCTTCTGATGTTGTTCCTCCTTCTTCTTTTGCAATTTTTTATTTTCTTCTTCCTTTAAAGAATCCTTATAAGCCTGGCTTCTGGCCTATAAATGTATAGGAAAAAAAAAATCATAGGAAAAAGCATCACCACAATATACTAGTCCGCCCGCCACAGGACTGGTTCTAATAACTCAACCTCTGTATCAAGCATACAGTAAGCTCTCCATACACACTTGCTTATTGAGTGATTTATGCATATGTCTGAAGATGTCCCTGGGGATATAGAAAAACAAGGCTCCTATAAGCATAATCATCCAGCACCTTTTAAAGGATGATCTAAATGTTTGTTTAATTAAAGCTTAAAAATATCCCCTCAGAGATAATCAACATAGTTTATTCTTCTAGTGATAAGGATTTGAAAAACGTACTTAACTTTCCTCTATTCCAAGTATATCCCAACTAACTAACAGCAGTTCTAACTAGACTCTGGTAAGGAGAGAGAATGGAGATGAAATTGGACTAAGAATAAGCCCATCAATGAGGAGGAAAATCTATAGTTTTTACCACATTTACAATAGCATCAATGCATTAAATTGCCAGGCATTTATTGCTATTACTTTATTTAATGCTTAAATTCTATGAAGTAGATATTATCCTCATTTTGTGAATAAGGAAATGGACTTGGGTATGTGAAATAACTTGATTGGACCACAAGGCCAGAATGGATCTCCAATTCCAGGTGATCAGACTCCGAAGCTCTGAATCTACCATTCTCCTCCTTGCCTGGGATATCGCTCCTTGAACACTACCTACTCCTTTGCTGCTCAGCTAAAATGCTGTCATATTTGGGCGCCTGGGTGGCTCAGTTGGTTAAGCGACTGCCTTCGGCTCAGGTCATGATCCTGGAGTCCTGGGATCGAGTCCCACATCGGGCTTCCTGCTCAGCGGGGAGTCTGCTTCTCCCTCTGACCCTCTTCCCTCTCGTGCTTTCTACCTCTCATTCTCTCTCTCTCTCAAATAAATAAATAAAATCTTTAAAAAAATAAAAATAAAAATAAAATAAAATGCTGTCATATTCAACATATAGGGAACTCAGCTAATGGCTTACACATGTAAATTCTGGAAAGTGGTCCCTGCCTAGGAAAGATATTGCTCTCAAATAAAGCTATATTCTTCTGTAAATTATATAGACTCTAAGTAGCTGATCAGTTAATCTCAGAGACAAGCAATAGAGACAGTGACTTTAGAAGCACTGATATACCTACTGCTCATTAATGGTATCCTATTAAATAGCCTGTCAACTGGTGATTGGTACCATAGAATTCCAGAGATGCATTTCTTTCTAAGTCTTTGCATCCTTCATCGGTACCTGAAGGTCATTTTTATTTCTGAGAAGGAAAACAGAGGCTGTTCAGGAACACAAGAGTCATTACTTCTGGCTGAATTAGAGCCTCAAGGGGCAGCGTTAGGAGAACCAGCACACACAATAGGATGCCCTCCAGTCCCACCGACCCAGCACGACAGGGTTTCACACACTGGCATAGTGACCATGCGTTCTGGAATTTATGAGATTTCAAGTATTTTGTCTGTTCATTTGTCCTATACTTTCTCTGCTCACGGTGATTTGTAGCCTACCCTCTGTGAGGCAGAGAGGGCAGCTTGATAAGCTAATATGTAGGAAATGCCATTGTTCCCATAAAACTACCAGCAGCATCATGGCAGGACACTACATATTTCAGGCCTAGTTCTTTGGACTAACAACCCATAAAGCTTGTGAAGGCTGGTTCTCTCCCCCGACTTTCCTTACTATAATTTTTCTCAAGCACTTCTTAATTCATTCCCCCATTTCTGTCACTATAAAAACCCACATTCCATCAAACAATAAGCACTTGCCAGGAAGGGAGAGAGGCCTTTGGAATGGTATCATCTACAGCACTACTAATTGGAATAGTGGAACTCCAGATGTGTTCAGAAAGCGGTCACATATTCAAATCCTGCTTCATTAAACGGGCAAAAATGTCCTAGGATTTTCTCTTCTCTAAATCCTAAACGCAAGAGAACTGTGATAAGACACTGAAGGTGAAGAGTTGTTCTCTAATGACCCCTTCTTTTCACATTAGAGAAGGCTAGTCTTTATCACAAGTATTCCATATAAGACCTGAAAGAAGGAAATGGACCGGGGGCACACATCTTCTACTCAAGAGATTAAAAGGAGTAATGAAATATTTAGTTAAAGCAGATATGATGATTGAGTGAGAAACCTAAATTCTATCTGTATAACTTCCTTTTAAGCCTAACCACTTTATTGGTCTTTTATCAGAATATGGGTCCTAGTTTTTTACTCAGAAAAAAACACAGTGATTAGACACAAAGTGTCATTTAAAAAAGGCTACAGAAATTGGGAAGTCACATGGCTCCTCAACTATGAAGAATTCAAAGTTACTTGCAATCCTAATTCTTGCTTAACCCAGCTGTCATTCCCAGGCAGGACAGGAAGTTACTGTTCAAAAATAATGGGGGGGGGACTTTTGATCACAATTTTTCTTAGTTCTAAATCCCAGCAATTTCTGTCATTGTATTCACATGATTTTTCTATCACTAAGTATTAATATAATATTAATACTAAATTTTTGTTATTCAACCAAAATATACATTTTTACTCACCCTGCCCCAAAAGTTATGCTTATAATATATACATTCAATAAATAATATTGAAGCCTCTATGTGCAAGCAGTTTGTAAGACATGCTCTCAGACCTCAAGTGCCTCATAGCCTAGTGTGGAAGTCAGACAAGATGACTGATGATTACGGTACAGCATGATGGGTATTATGACAGAAGAAGCTAAAAAGCACATTTAATTAAACTGGATCAGAACACCTTCTTGGGGCATCTGAGTGGCTCAGTCGCTTAAGCATCTGCCTTCAGCTCAGGTCATGATCCCGGGGTCCTGGGATCAAACCCCACATCAGGCTCCCTGCTTAGCGGGGACCCTGCTTCTCCCTCTCCCACTCCTCCCACTTGTGTGCTCTCCCTCCCTCCCTCTCTCTCTGTCAAATAAATCAATAAATAAAATCTTAAAAAAAAAAGAACACCTTTTCAAAATGGGTTGACACTAAGTTGCATTTTAGAGAGTAAGCATGAATCAGACTGAGCAGGGGGAAGGGCACTGTGTGAACAAATGAAAAATAGCATGGCATTAGTTTGTTAGGGCTGTCATAACAAAGTACCACAGTCTGGGGGGTTTAAACACACAGAAATTTATTGTCTCACAGTCCTAGAAACTAGAAGTTCAGAAATAAGGTATCTGTAATGTTGATTCCTTCCGACGTCTGTGAGGGAAGGATCTAGGATCTCCTTGGCTTGTAGATGGCCATTTTCTCCCTGTCTCTTCACATCATCTTCCTTGTAGGCATGTCTGTCTCTGTGTCCAGATTTCCCCTTTTTATAAGGACACCTCTCCTGTTAGATTACAGCCCGCCCTAATGACCTCGTTTTATTTTTATTATCTCTATAAAGACCCAATCTTGAATACAGTCACACCCTGAGGTAAGGAGGGTGGGGACTTCAACAAATGAATTCTGAGGTGGGTGTGGAGACCACAATTCAACCTGTGATGAGCAATTAAGTTCCCATTTCAAGATGGTGGAGTAAAAATGTTTCTGTGCCATCCTTCTCTCAGAAATTACCCTACACAGAGGAGAAAATGAATCAAACTCTACATTCAGAAACCAAGATATATCTATATTCCCAGACAAAAATCTAGGAAGACGAAGTAGATGAAGAAACAGTGACTAAGAGGAAAAGAGTGAAACAAAAGACATACCCACAAGAAGCTGGTTTTCTCCACAGAGCAACATGAGGGCCCAAGAAGGACGTGACAGCTGTTGAGGACAACAGATGGAAGATGGGAAAGTGGCTATTCCTGCTCCCACCCTGAAAATTCAGCCACTAATTCTCCCAACCCAGACAGTAAATCAGAAGTGTATTCTCTGGATAAACTAAACAGGCACACCTAGCATGGAAGGTCATGGTGGTCAAATCCCAGATGGAGAGTGAAAGGACTGTATAAAATCCTGCATACTGAGTAGTGAGCCTCTGGGCCCCCTATTTTGAAGTTTTCCTCTGCTCCCTGCACCGGGTCCTCTGAGGGCTAGAAGGTGATATTTTATGCATGAAACAAGAACAGGCTGCTAGGGGCGCCTGGGTGGCTCAGTCGTTAAGCGTCTGCCTTCGGCTCAGGTCATGATCTCAGGGTCCTGGGATCGAGCCCCGCATCGGGCTCCCTGCTCGGCAGGAAGCCTGCTTCTCCCTCTGCCACTCCCCCGCTTGTGTTCCCTCTCTCGCTGTGTCGTGGG